AAGTCAGAATTCTGAGAAAAAAGTCAGAATTCTGATTTTAATCTCAGAATTCTGACTTTTTTTTCTAAACTCAGAATTCTGAGATTAAAGTTAGAATTCTGAGATTAAAGTCAGAATTCTGAGAAAAAAGTCAGAATTCTGACATTAAAGTCAGAATTCTGAGAAAAAAGTCAGAATTCTGAGAAAAAAGTCAGAATTCTGAGAAAAAAGTCAGAATTCTGAGAAAAAAGTCAGAATTCTGACATTAAAGTCAGAATTCTGAGATTATAGTCAGAATTCAAATAATATTTTCATGGTGGCCCTAATCCTCTTCTGTAGAAAACACTTTCATCAGTTGTTTTTTTTTTTTTATTTATCTTTGCACTGCAGGGCCACCGTACCTTCCAGCCAATGCTTATTTCTCATGTAGATATGTGTAGTCTTTTAGAAATGCAAATATACGTCATCAGAGCAAATTATCGGTAAAAATGTAAATATCTCAAAAATAGATTTTTATGTATGCCCATTGAGGCAATAAATAACCAAGCAATTATTCCTTGACAATAGAGGCCATTGCTGATTTGTTCATGGCTTTATTTTTGGGGAGAAGTTTTGTTCAGTGACTACGTTTTTATAGATATTAAGAAATTTTTGTGTGTAAATTCAGAATATACTTCAGATTTGAAACAGAGTGCACAATTTAGGTCTGGAAGCATAGCATACTATCATTTGTGGTTTATGGTATACAGTATCTATGGTCGCTATTGGTTTATGAGCAAACGAAAGAAGTATGCTGTTACATCAGAAAAGGCTGTAAGCAAAAGCCACAGAGAAACCGGACCGCCCAGCTTAGCAAGAGGTGACAGATACCCAAGTCCTTTGCAACATAATTGCCATTAATGAAGAAAAAGGGATCGGCGGATATGCAGTGTATAGGCTACTTTAACTCATTGAAATAAAACTTATCTCCAGGTTGGGTCATATACTAGAAAACTGGGATAAACTTGGGGTCGAATTGTTGAACTTGTTTTTTATATTGAACATTTTACTGATGAATTACAAGAAATGCAGGTTTGAAGCAACACAGCTGTACTGCCGCACCTTTCGGTTACCCGCGTTTTAGCATCATGCTACGGTGTGCTTTCTTGGCTATTTTGTACTTCTTTTTTACGAAGCTGTATTTTTTCCCATGCACAGATCATTTTATAAGAAAATGAAACTGTTTTTCTTTTTAATTTTTATGTGCACCAAACATAGGACTTGTCTGTCTAGTTCCGTGTACATGAATGTAGCCATACCTGCTTGTATTTCTCTGGAAAGAAAAAAGCTTTCTAAGGAAATGATTATGTTTTGCTTCTGGTGTAAACATTGATACTTTCCTGACTCTTTACATATTCGCTGTTGCAGTGGAAGAAAATTTAATGGTGTGATCAGATAATCCAGGACAGAATCTGTTGTAAACTCCCATTTCAATTAACAGGACCTGGATTTCACATTAAGTGCTTGCTGTGAACTGATTGGTCAGTCTCCTATAATCATGCATGTGTCACTAATGTTAATGTAAAACTGCTGAATGAGTCTTTCAATCAAGGAAGCAGAAGAAACCAGTCAGAGCAAAGAAGAACTGATCTATTTAGCCAAACACAGGAGGTGACATGGATTATCTGGTCACCCTAAAATTTTATGAAGTTGACAGTCAACTATTCCTTCTTATCGCATTAAGTTCCACTGGCCATGGATACACTGAATGTGTTTGTCGGTTTTGGTAAAGTATGCAGGACTGACCACTGACTTTAATGCATTATTACCCTTTGAGTGGTCAGTATTTCCGATAATCTTTCTCTGCATCTCTCCTACTGCAACCCTTAACTAATAGAATAAAAAGTATTTTCACGGCAGGCTGCACATATGTATATTTGATTTTAACTGCCATAACAGATTTTTATACTTGCTTCATTTATTGAGTGCCAATGGTTTCTGTGTTGAAAGGGAAGGTTTCAATAAAGCTTCACTGGAAAAAAACAAAACCCCCGGGAAACTTGATTTTGTAATCTGGAAAAACGAGGCTGTTTTTCTATGGTGCCAGACATCTGAAAAGTAACACCAAAAGAACAGCAGCCATCTGAGTGTGAAAGAGTGCTTCTCAAACCCCGGTCGCAATCCAGCAGCACGCTGCCAGCTGCCTCCTGTGAGCCGTGGAACTGTGGCAGGGAAACGAGGCTATAATGAGCTGCAAACATGGTCCCTGCATGGGGATATTCTGCTGGTCTGCAAAATATACAGGGGGGGCTGATATATTGGCTTATTGTCATATAAAATTTAGAAAATAAAATGAGAAACGTTGATAAACTGTCGATAAGGAACATTTCTTGATAGCGCACACCAGCCTATCACATAACAGAAACAAATGCAACTCCAACCAATCATATGGTTGTATTTTAGGAACAGACAACCTAGGCCCCAACAAAAATGCATAGCAAGGTTGATTTAGTTGGTGGAGCACACTGCATGCTACTGTAATGTATCATAATATATCATGTAATATAATGTAATATAATACTATAATGTCATGTAATAATATAATATCATGGAAGTGATAAGTGCTCCCTCAGAGGAAGCTTCAAGTGTCGGTGATGAAGGCGAGAGCCCAGCACGCACAACATCTTTTTAAAAAGGAGATATTGAGGACAAACAAGATAGAAAGATGTCAGCAGTATGATGGGGCATTTTTGCAGTTTAAAGTCGTGACAGACTGGAAATTCTGTAAACTCATTTTACCACTTCCTGATTCTATTAATACATTTGGAAAGATACATATAAATACGTAATGATAGAAACATAGATTTTATACATATATAATAAGCTGTAAACATGATTTTACTAATTGCATTAGTACTGTACAACATTATAGATGCCATACTTGATGGATTCCCCCATTCCCCCTCCCTCAGGCTTCCAGAGGTCAGCCCACCCATGTCTAGTTTGCCAAGCTCACAAAGTAGAATCAGGGTATCCACTCCGAAAAAGTTAATTGACCCACATGGTGATGTATCATTGACGTGACCTACAAATGAGCAATAGAATCCCGGGGACGAACAGACAGCTGAAGGCGTGACCGATCCGTCAATCCAGACGGGAAGGTC